ATGTCAGAAGTCAACTGCCAGTTAATAAACTTTTTTGCCGTATGAATATACGTTGCCCAGGGTGCCCAGGTATATTAAGGTGAATTTGTAATTTGCGCATTCGACGAAGAGAATAAATCCGATTCAAGTAACTAATCGAGATCAGGACTGATTTTGGTGATACTGTATCGAAGTAGAAATGTGAATTTTCAAAGCTCTCTATCTAGATAAGGATATTACATAGAATTTCAAAGATGATTCCTCAGTAAAATTTGATTTATTCCTCTCTGTCGATCCAGAGATTACGAAGTGACACACATTAGTGCAAGTCCGAAGAAGTAAGTAATCGAACTCACCGTTTATCTCGATTCAAGAAGAAGAGTAATAGAACACGAATTTTCACCAACCCTCTCAGAATACTCTTTACCAAGGCAGTACTTTTTAATTGGTTTGTGAAGTCTATGATTTGTTGTATCATAACGTAACACAACATTTGCATTATAGACGCGTGTTGTTACAGGCGTCTAGTTGAATAATATAATAAATTGCAATAAAGGAAATGTGAAATTCTAATGTTACCTTCGAAAATGGTCATGTCTGAACTTGATAGATTTCTATGCCTCATCTAATAAATATAACGGTGACAATCAACCACACTCGTCATGACGACGCTTTTGGTCTGGAGCTCTATGACTCAACTCCTTACTGTCATACCTTGACGGGTTTATCATTCATCTACTTTACTAACTCTCCCCATTCAGTTAAAGCACGCCTACACCGATACTCTCACGCCAGTGATTAACCAATTGACTCATACAAACTGTCTTCTTTTTTGTATTCCCACCCATAAAAATTCACGCGTATAAACGTTTGTCATTTTTCTGCTGGTACTTACCCCCCCCCCTCCGCCTCCCATCCCAATTCTCACTTACTCCCACATATTCCCATGGTGGCTTATTTAAGACACTTTGGCCCACACAGCCATTTTACTTTAACGCTTGCCTTTTTGCCTATAAACTACGCACTATTCTAAAGTCATCACGATGATGCAAGACCGAGATTACTTGTGCCAAGCATTACAGAGGCAAGTTAATAATAACATATAATGACAGCCGTGATACATCATCACCATTACCGACTGTTATGCAGAAGAAGCGATTATTGAAACTAATAAGAAGAACCTAAATTTATCCAGCCTTTTTTGAAGAGGCCGAAATAAAGTGATGAAAATATATTTGCTGATTTTTCTCGAGTTGAACTTATTCTCTATATTACTTCCAAATATCCAACCCGAATTTTTGCAACAGTCCAATCCACAGCGATAGTATGAACAATCTATTGATATCTATCTTGTATTTAACCGTTGGCTATGGAGATATACTATTAAGGGTTTTGGCATAGGACCAATTCAATTCGTTATGGCACATTAAGCACTATCATTTGTCGCCTTAAGAACTGATTGGCTTCTGATCAGCGTTTGTCAACCGCATCATTCTTCCAATGCATCGACACTCGACCTCAGCAACCAATGTATGGATCTCCCATTCTTACTGTCATTAACACTTGCTATTCGCTACTATCTCCACCCTCTCTTTCATTATTGCATTGAGGATTGATGGAGTCTAAAATTTACTACCCAAAGAACAGGCATAGTTAAAAATCTAATGCACCGATTGAATAATTAGTTATCGAAACGTCCTTCATAATCAGAGATCAAGATCCGAATGGTTATTAACTAGTTACGAAGTAGACTGATATTTTGCATTATCTAATGTTTCGAAGTGAATACCTCGATATCCGAACCTTTAGTCGCTGAGCGGTGATACTTGACCTCGATTTTATATTTGCTTGAACGGGGTGTGCGATAGACTTACCTCCACGTGGTGCACCCTGGGAAACGTATACTCCTACGGCAAAAAGTCTATGAACCGGCAGTTGATTTCTGATTTCAAACTACCATC